GCCTGCTCTATAGCGGGCGCATATGCGCCCAAAGCCGACCCTAAGCGTTGGCTCCACTGTAGCCGCGCCCTAAGCGCCAACCTTAAATGCTGCTTGGAATGGTTTGACACCACACACTGTAACAAATCAACATGTCATTCACATACAAAAGGAGCAAAATATAATAATTAATAAAGTTTTTGATAAGCAATGATGTTCTGGCTGACACTTCATGTACCCATTATCTGACATGATTTTGTCGAACTTTTCGTGCCACAGTCTCGAGTCTTGGTTTAAGCTGTAGAGGCTATTCTTCAACATGCAGCTAATTTTTTTTTTTCTAAATGCTTTTAACCCTCCAATTGCACTATGTGTTGTTCCTCTTTCAGATCTCTATGTTAAATGGCTGTCTATACATCTATTTGCACTAGATGTAGATCTTCCTCTGTTACTAGGCTAAGCACAACTCTGACAGTTATGATCTTTACAACAACAGAAAAGATCTCAGTGTAGTCAACTCCTTTATTCTTTTGAAACCCTTCACAACTTTTTCGTCTTGTAGCTTCTGTTACCATTTGATTGTGTAGTACTCTTTTGCCAACCAATAATATCCTCAAGTCCCATGTCTCATTTGACCCCAATGACTGCATCTCATTATCCTTGGTAATCTCCAATTCATTTGATTCTTCAACTTGATTGGACTCTTCATAGCATTTTGGTTCACCACTAGCAGTTGACAAAAAATAGTGTAAAGATGGAGAATGCCTCTGTGCTCCATTGAACCTCCTTCTACCCTTCTGCTCACCAGTGTCTTCTATCCCATAATATTTGTAGGTCTCGAGATTCCACTGAACCTCCTTCTACCCTCCTGCTCACCAGTGTCTTCTATCCCATAATATTTGTACTATTCAAAAGTAACTGATGGACAATCCTAAGTTCTACTCCTGTCCTTGTATGTATTGAGAAGAATCAATTTGTGGAGAAGCAATTCTATGAATAGGTAGAGGAAGTCCTTGGGGCATGTATCATTCAAATCATGTAAGTTGTAAGCACAATAATCTGTCTGTTCCTCCAATGTTGACGATATTGGCTAACCAAGGCTGTTACTTTTCTTCCTGTATAAAATCACCTTTTATTGAATTTCCAATCTCATTTAAGGATGGGATTGCTTAACAAGGACCGCCACAAGTTTAATGGAAAGTCTATGAATTCTTTTTTTTTAAGCATGATATGGTACCTCTATATTACTCTTGTAAAAAATTAATCAAAAAATTCATGAAAGATAAATCAAGGATCTGCATCCAGTGCTAATTTAATTTCAAAAAGTTTGTCAATGATAGATTGAATACTCTTTTCGAACCACACAGAGCCTCCTGAAATTTTTCCTTACCGATCATTCAAACTTTTATCCTCATCTAAAACAATGATCATTATAACTGAACTCACAATAATGGGAATGGTAGCTGAATTAGGCTTCCTTCTTTGGAATACCCATGGCATAAAGGGGTTTACTTGGATATCCGAGTGGTAGTTAACCATCCATGCTCTCGATATTCATACATTGATAAGAGGCTAGGAGTAAAGAAAATTTGGAACATTTCCATGTAAAAAAGAAGAATCAAAATAATCTATTCTTCATAAATGTTATGATTTAGTTCTCAAATTCTTTACGTAAGGATCAATATTGTCTAAAATAATGAAACTTGAAGTTAATATTATTAAAAATGAATGTATTTTGTAGAATTATATGTTTGTTTGATTTTTTTTAAGTAAATCTAATATTTTATTTATTTCATTTCCTCGTATACAAGAGCTAACTTCAAGCAAAGCATGAGTGGATTGCGGTAGAGCAAGTTAGTTTTGTGTGATAAATAAATAGTATGAATTTTTTGTTATTTTTTATTTATTGCAGCAAAGTAGGTTAAATTTAATTTTTTGCTGCAATGAAAGTAGGATAAAATGGTCAAATAAATTTATTTATTACAAAAAAACTAGCTCAATTTGCGATTTGTATGTTTTTTATTGATTTATGTTGGGTAAGTCTACTATGGAAGTTATACATTTATCGAGAGGTTGGATGGAGATGTACAGGAAGAGTAAGGAGGATCTAAATATGTTTTTTGTTGATTTAGAAAAAGCTTATAAAGAAGTTCCAAGAGAAGTACTTTGGAGAGTTCTAGAAAAGAATATATTAATATTGCTTATATTCAAGTCATTAAAAATGTATATTATAGATCTGTTATTTGTATTTGAACACATGGAGAATTGCCCAAGTTTTGTCCTATTTCTGTTGGATTACATCAGAGATTGATTTTAAGCTCATATCCTTTTGTTTTTAATAATGAATGTTCCCATTGGACATTTATAGAAGGTTGTATTTTAGTGTATGCTTTTTGCTGATGATATTCTTCTTGTGGATAAGACTAGAAAGAGAGTTTAGGAAAAATTGGATTTATGGAATTCAACTCTAGAATCTAAGGGCTTTCGTTTGAGTAGATCTAAAATTGAATACATGGAATGTAATTTTAGTAGTAGTATATCTAGTGGCGGGGCTGTAACAATTGGTGATTAAGTCTTTAGAAGTGAACGTTTTAGGTATCTTGAGTCTATTGTTCAAAATGATGATGATATAGATGGGGATTTTATTAGTAGAATTCAAGTTGGATGGTTGAAGTGGAGGAATGCATCGGGCCTATTGTGTGATAGAAAAGTACCGCTTAGACTTAAAAGAAAAAAAATTATAAGATCGTGGTGCGACCTACAATGCTTTATGTTGTAGAGAGAAAAAAATTTATAAAATCGTGGTGCGACCTACAATGCTTTATGTTGTAGAGTGTTGGCTTGTAACAAAAAAACATAAAATTAAGTGTTTTTAGGAGATGAGAATGCTAAGGTGGATGAGTGGCTTTACACTTAGAGACAAAATACAAAACCATCTATGGCAACCTTCTCTATTCTTGTCTATCACTGGAGCTACTCTAACCCACGTTAAACGTCAACCATCAGATGAACTTGTTAGGAGAGTAGATATTTTAAGTTTGACTTTTGTTAGGAAAGGTAGAAGTAGACCATAAAAGACTTGGGAATGTTGTATAAAAAATGATCTTGATTTATTAGAATTAAATGAAAAATGACACTCAATAGGATAAAATGTAGAAAATAGATTCATATTGCTGACCCCATTTAGTGTGACAAAAGCTTGTTGTAGTTGTTGCAATCTGCTTGATCTCAGTCCATTCTTATTCTATGTGAAGTTGATTATTGTATGCGAGAAAATGGGGTTGGTATGAAATTTGATTTATTAAAAAATTCTTGAAGAATATGTTTTTTTCTAAAATTCCCTCCGTTTAATATCATTAGCTTCGATTTTTTTAAGTTTAGATGGTATGATTAATTTTGTCCCAATTTAATTAAATTTAGGACTAAATTCACAGATAGTTGGTCGTTTTGGTTTTTTGCACATTTTTGTCAGCAACTTGAAGTTCAAAATCCGTGGAATTCATGTAACCAAGTACTTTTTGAGAAACCTACACTAAAGAACGAAATGTCAACTTCTTCGTGTTGATAGCGTAGAGGCCTAAAGAATGCATGCAGCTATGTGACGAAACTGGGGTCAACTAATGCTCATAACCAGTGGGATACAAATCACCTAAGGACATATATAGCTCAACGGATAAACAATTGATATCATAGCTTAGACAAACTTATTACTGTTCCAACCTTGATAAATTATTTTTACTCAATAATTTTGTAAAAAACAATATAGAATATTGCCACTCAATAATCCTGCTTTGATTTCCTTCAGATGTGACATCTATAGTTTCGGAGTCATCTTATGGGAGCTTGCAACGCTCAGAATGCCTTGGAGAGGGATGAATCCAATGCAGGTTGTAGGTGCAGTAGGATTCCAGCAACGGAGACTTGAGATTCCCAAGGAAGTTGACCCCCTGGTTGGAAGGATTATCTGGGAGTGTTGGCAAACGTATGTGGATCATATCTTTGTGTTGTACCGAACCAACCCTTTTCACTTAGTGCCAATAGTTCCAACCTGTGTGATTATTTTGTTGGAAGATTTACATACATACCACTCAATTCTTTTGTATTTGCATATCTAACGCCTATACTTCAATTTTGTTTCTTAACAGGGATCCAAGCCTGCGTCCTTCTTTTGCACAACTAACAACTGCTTTGAAGTCATTACAGCGGTTAGTTATCCCCTTGCACCACGACCCACACATCGCATCGGTTCCGGTACAAATTCCTGTGAATTCAACACCATGATTTCTTTCTCGTAAATGTGAATATGCAAAATCATTTTATACTTGAATATATAGTTTGTGAATTACTGAATAATAATAAGCTGATATTTGGCGAGCTTCGGATAAGTTCCAGGCATCCAATTTTCTCTTTACTGGTGCAGCTAAGGTAACTGCGGCAGTGGCTATAGAGTGAGATTGGGCTGTCACTGGTTTTAATTGTAAAGTTTGTATACTATTCTCCAATATTTCCTTATTTTCTTTCTCCTTTCTTTTTCTTTGTTTTTATGCTTTGCTGGAAAACTGGCAAGCTATTGTGAGAAGCCTTATAGTGATGGAAACAGAATGTTTCCGTTCGGTTTATGATATTGATTCAATTGTAATTTATATACTTGACTTGCTTTTCTTATTGAACGTTATACCAGGAATGAAACTGCTTTCTATTTTTTTATTACAAAGAATGTTTAATCTAATTGACACTTTGAGACTGTTCTAAGAGCCGTTTTTAATATTATTATATTAAGGCTTTATTTGTGGGATTAATTTTTAATAAAAGGTCCACATTTATTTGGCCTGATTCAGTTTAATAATTTTTTTTTTCCTTTTTGAAATTGTTTGAAAATTGATTCATATTCAAATAATTTGAGATATTTTAGACATGAATTTACTTGGGTAATTAATAAGGACAATGATGTATTGTGAATGCTATATGTGTATGTGGTATGGTCAGACACAACTTGAGTGTAAACTTAGCTGAAGATGTTTGTGATTTAGATCCAATAAAGAGATGTACATGCAAGATGATTGTGAGGTTGGGATCATTGCCATATATGTCTTAAAGGGCATAATCTTAACACCTTTGAAGTTATTTTGCAGGTTTTTATGTGTTGATAGTTATGCATAAATATGATTGTCATGTAGAA